AAATTGTGAGATTCATTCCTTCATTATTTCCCTTACATGGTTATTATTTGTACGTGATGTATGCCTTTATGGTTTTGTTGTTGTTGCTCCCTAAGTGCCAGGCATATTTTCTATTCCATTCCAGGGAAAAGAAGTAGGGAGAGAGAAAGGAATTTATCTTTGAAAACTGGTAAGATCCCATTTTCCATACTCCTATCAACTGCATTTTTCTGATATTAGCAAAATGTGCAGGATTTGGCTTTATCCTATTTCAAGAGTAGACCTAATTAAGTGCTTATTTTATAAATGAGTGGTTTTAAAACTTGAGCAGTTGCAATAAAATTTAGAAGCTTAAAAATGACATGTTATTCTGTAATGAAAGACTGAACTGAAACAGTATAATAGACATTGGCTTGAGCAGATCCATTTGCAGGAAAAGAACCCTAGTTCTTGGCATTCAGCAGTGCTGGTTGTGTGTATCCTAATTTGCAAAAATACACTTTTTTCAAAACTATGAGGAATGGAAATGCAAAAAAAGGTAAAAATACACTTACTTATTTTTTAAATAATAAATATAACTAATGCCTTTAAATACAAGGTAATGCATAAAGTTGTTTTCTAGTGATAAACACTATACATACTCCAGCACTAGATTTGTGCAAGACAGCCTCTCATAGATGTCAAATAAAAATCAAACCATATCACTAAGGACTTGTGTATTTTGATTGCTTGCATTGAGAAAAACTTCCACAAACATTTAATTTTTGTTATAAATTAGACTGTGTCTAATGGAACATTGATTTGTGTTGGATGAACGTCATTATTTTAGATAATTACAGGGTTTTTTTATTCTCTGTGTCTTATAACTCTGATGCCGGCCCTTTAATTCCTGCTTGTTCTGTCAGGAGGAAGAATACAGAGCTAAATCCAGACCTTATTTTGGCAAAACTCCCACTGAAGTCAGTGAGGGTTTTGTGAAAGTAAGGACTACATGATTTGTCTCACAGTTTCTGCTGATTATTTGGAATATGTTTGCTCCCCCCCTCAAACAGCAGAGCTCCTCATCGAGTTTGACATCACCATGGCACAGTGGCTCACAGCGTTTTTTTGTCTGTAAACTGGAATCATGAAAATCAGTGTAATGCAATTTGAAAAATACCCTTTTCACCCAATGATCTTGGAATAAAATGGATTGCCTTGGGAATTTGGAGACTGCTACTGTGGAACTAATGCTACAGAAACAGAGACACTGAGAATTTGGAGAACCCATTTTAAATTAATGCTGAGAATTTAAAGAACTCTTTAAAGAAGTTGGAAATAGGTCAAATTCTGATTGTTAAAAAACAGCTACCCAATTGGGTGTTGCCCAGACAGGTGGTACCTTGTGATAAAATTGTTGATTTGTGTAATACTTCCTTACTGGAACACTGGCATGTCCATGAAAATTTCAATTGTTTCCATTACAGATTGCAGTAGAGAAAGGCAGCTGGAGAGTTAACAGCG